ATGTCATATTTTTCTTGTATGTTCCAATTACTTAATTAATATGCGTGTATGAATAGAAACTTTGTTTAGGCTATGATTGTGGAATTTGGTGCTCCTATGAGTTCCTACGGGAAACCCTAAGGGAGTGTATTGGTGCTTGTATGAGTAAATTAATTGTGATAATAATTATATACGTGAATTGTCTTATTTTAAATGTTTATTGCATAAATTGGAACACTCTATGGGTTCTTGAGAGAACCCTATGAGCAGCAGGCAAAATAGGAATATTTCTGTTTTGTCTTCTGTCTTCCGTCATATTCCCTATTAAAAGAGATGTGTGAATATGTGTTTGGTTTTGCAAATGGTGTAGGAAAGACTTGATGATAAAGATCAACCTTATGATGATGAAGAGACAAAATGATGTTACTTACATGGATGGATGACTAGCTATGCATAATATTCCTAGATGACACTTTATTTTGAAATTTAGAAATTTTATGTAAGCTTTGACATCTTTGGATGATTTTATTTGGAGTTTTATACTTTTGAATTGTCATATACTTGGAACTAATTAATGCAAGTGAATTTTACATGTGTTTGGATTTCATTTTATAACTTATTTTATTATTTTTTGACGGTAAAATCAATTCTTTATTGATCACATGAGAAACATCCTCTTAAAGAAGAGGATGTACAAGAGGATTATCAATCCAAAATAATGTATAGTACTTCGTATTCATATGAGCTGTTTAATACACTATTTGTATTATAATTATAGGTACATAGCGCGTGCGCACACACACACACACAACCATTTAATATAAAAATAACCGTTGTGCATTTATTTGGACAACATTTACAAAATTGTAGCTTAAATTTAGTTTAAATCATTGCCTATATTATTTCATAGACAACCTTTATAAAATGTTCCCTAATGTTGCTAGTAGCGATCAGAAAAATGTTGCCAATAAAAACTGACTACATTCTAAAATCGTTCTTTAAAAATTTATAGTGTTGCCTTAAATAAAAAAACGTTGTCAATGAAGATCATGAAAACCGTTCATGAAAGTTTTAGGCAACAATTTTTTGACATAATGGAAACAAGCCGAAAAATCATTACATATTGGAATAGGCAACAACCGATAAATCTATGCTTGAGAAATCGTTGCCTAAACTTTCAAGAATGATTTTTTGGCTTTCGACAACAATTTTATATGATTGTTGTAGACAACAAATGTTGTAGAAACTTCTACAAATTAGTTTATGCACAAACTATTTTTAGCTTATGGAGAAATTCATTTAATTTTTACTTCCTATTTTTTATCCTAAAAATGTTTATGAAGAAGTTTATCTAAGGGAAGTGTATTGGATTAGGATTTTAAAGGATTTTTTTAGTTGAAAAAAGTCTTGTGTATTTTAAAAGACTTTATAGGATTTTCATGACTTTTAAGACTTTATAAGATTCTACAAGACTTTAAATTAGGATTTTAATGGATTATGCAAGACTTTTAAGTCAGGATTTTAATAAATTTTGCGGGACTTTGTGAACTTTGTAGAATTTTGTAGATTTTTGACATAGAGTTCAAGATTTTTTTCATACATTCAAATTTAAAAAGAGTCAAAAGAAAAAAATAATAAAGAAAACAACAATGTTTAGATAAATAATAATAATAATTCTCTGTAATATCACGCCCTTCTAAATAGCATTCACCCACATATCCATAGTTATACTAGTCCTCAAAGTATTAACATCTTTTTGCTTTTGCTCCTAGTTTTGAATAATCGGCTTAAAATTATGATTTTCATTAACCGGTAATGTTGAAAATGAAGGTTTGTCCACCATTCCAATATGAAATTCATCAGAATGACATTCTTTATGAAGAAAGTTATGTAGTTCTACACATGTTAAAAATTATTCTAAACAAAATTTCAATTTATTTATAATTTGTGATTTAAAATATTTTATTTATAAATTTATAAGTGATTTAAAAAATAGTAGGACAGCTACCCTATTCTCTTATAACTAAATATGTCCATGCATTTTATATTGGTATTTGAGTGAAATTTTGTCTTTCATATACTTTTATTCATTTAAAATATCTTAGAAATTACAAACATCAACTAGGAGAAAAAAATATATAAAATTTGTTATAGGTACAAAATAATTTTAATTTTTTTTTAATTACTTTCAATTATTCACTTGTGAAGAAATATTTTTAGTATTAAATTTTAAGATACTGCAATGTCTTATGTTAATTTTTTTTAAATATAAAAATAATAATTTCACAATATAAAAATTAAATAAAATAAATTTCATAGTAAAAAAAAGAAATAAAATAATTGTTGAGTCATAGAGGAAGGATAACAGTAACACATTCAAATGAGGGAGAGAGATTGTAGTTTTTGTGCTGAGAGAATTCTTTCCTCAACTAAGATCCATTTTCATCTCATTCTACTCATAGAAACTCTAACTTAAATTCATCTTATATATATATATATATATATTTTTATATATATATATATATATTTGTTCTAATAAATCTAAATTGATTATAAGGTCTTGAAGATATACAGTTGATTGTAAAGATCATGATATCAATTTTAGCATTCATTTTTCCCTTTTCTTGACATGTGTTATAAAAAGAATTACTACTTAAAATTTGAAATTTTAAACGTTTTCTGTGTCACATATCTGAGGAAGAAATCCTAAACTCTAAACCCTAAACCTTAAACTTCAAACTCAACTAAATATAACAAAATATAGCAAGTCAATTAATTAAAGAAAACAAAGAGAAAAATAGGGCAAGTTGATGGCACTATCATTTTCGTATTGGAGTATTGAAGTTTCACCAAACAGGGGAATGAAATGGGAACAGTAGTACAATATTATATATGAACAGTAGTGCAGTATTATTAACAGAGAAAAAATAGAGAAGACATGAGCATAAAAAAAAGATGAAAAACTCACTTGAAAATTCTTGAAACACTTGAAAAGTCATTTCAAATAATCTTTCAAAATCTGATAGGTTTGGATGTAGTTGTTTTATGAATTTGGTATTTATAAATACCACTAAAAATCCTTCAAAATTCCTCTAATACAACAATCCTTTAAAATCTTCATATTTTTCAATACCAATAGATTGTTTTTAATTAGTCATAAAAAGTTTCAAATGAATATTAATAGATTTTAATAGACTCTTTAGAAAATCTAGATTGAATACCACTAGATTGTTTTAAGTGACAAAAAATCCCGATTAAATATTAACAAACTTTTTTATTCAAAACATTTTTTTTAAAATTTTATGAAATTCTAAACCAATACACCCTCCTAAATATGCTCTTAGTGTGTTCTGGCACTATTAGATTAAAAAAAACTCAATTTTTGCCAAAATCTTTCACAAAATTTCACATAGAGAAAAAAGCATCTTAATTATTTTTTAATAAAAATTAAATTAAAATTTTCTTTTCATTATCTATTTAGTTATTCATATAGTAACAAAATAATAATAAAAAAGAAGATCTTTCATTAAAAAAAAAAACATGTTTTTCAATCATAATTTTACACAAACATAATCTAAGAAAGTGAATCAAAAGTAGATAACAAACACTTATTAACACTTATTATTGATCATTTGGATTGTTGGAGTTGGAAAGGGGCAATTAATAATGACCAGGCAAGCCTTAGATGTTGATCGTGTGCATTTTTCCTTCACTTTTAATCTGGTTATTGACTACCTCTACGAAACTGGAGATCATTGTCATGGTATTGTTCTGAGGTAGGACGAATTGTAGATTTAATCAAATCATCCACTCCCTCTTCGAAACTAGAGGTGTTGTTGGAGTATTGCTGTGAGGTAGAAGATTTAATCCAATCATCCACTCCCTCTTCAAGACTAGAGAGGTTGTTCAAGTATTGTTGTTGCGAGGTAGAAGTTGAAGATATAATCGCAATATCCACTACACCGTTGAAACTAGAGAGGTTGTTCAAGTATTGTTGTTGTGAGGTAGAAGTTGAAGATATAATCGCAACATCCACTACACCATTGAAACTAGAGAGGTTGTTCAAGTATTGTTGTTGCAAGGTAGAAGTTGAAGATATAATCGCAACATCCACTACACCATTGAAACTAGAGAAGTTATTGGAGTTTTGAGAAGTAGTAGAAGGATTTGATCCAAAGGATTTTCTCCATGACCCAGAAAGATTCACCGATTGTTGATCATTAGAGATGTTGTTGTTGGAGTTTTGCCAAGCAGAAGAATTTGATTTTGATGTAAGAGAGCGTAGCCATGCCCCAGAAAGACTCACTTGGTTTTGATCATTAGAGACGTGGGAGTTTGATGTTGAAAATGTCACGGGTTGTTGGTAAGTAAAATTACTAGGGTTGCTTATTGTCCTTGAGGATTTTCTCCATGACCCAGAAAGATTCACCGATTGTTGATCATTAGAGATGTTGTTGTTGGAGTTTTGCCAAGCAGAAGAATTTGATTTTGATGTAAGAGACCGTCGCCATGCCCAAGAATGACTCACTTGGTTTTGATCATTAGAGACATGGGAGTTTGATGTTGAAAATGTCACGGGTTGTTGGTAAGTAAAATTATTAGGGTTGCTTATTGTCCTTGAGGAAGAGGGCATCGTGTTGCCATGTTGGTGGTTTTGAGAAACGACATGGCTTGGCCTTGAAGAAGAGGCCCTCACAGATCTGTCATAGTACCCATGATTTTGAAAGGAAGAAGATATGCTTGATGTGCTTGAAGATTGATGGGATTTTGGGCCTGTCATCTTTCTAGGGTAAGGTTTGGTTAATAATTAAGATATTGGAATTTGCTCATTTTTATAGAGATATTTGAATGAAGGAGCCTTGAACAATTCAAAGTCAGTTGTTTGTGTTTGTGGCTTTGTGATGGAAGTTAGGTTGCCACAAGAAATTTTCAACAAATATATAGTAAAGAATCGCTGTCGAGGCCTCATCATCGATCAAGAAAATCAACGTGATGATGTACTAGGTTGCTTAATGTTTTAGTAAAAAAGGAAGAAACTCCGAAGTTACACTGTTATTAATTCAAAGTAAGTTTTCTTAATAAAAAAACAAATTACAAAGTTCACTTATTTGATTTCTTCTATTTATTTCCTTGATATGCTTACCAGGACGATAACTTCACGAAATGGTGGTTAGTAATATATCAATATATACCTATAATTTTAACGATTAAATTTATATTTAATATAAAATTATTAAAAATTATTGATGGGATTTTGGGCCTGTCAACTTCCTAGGGTAAGTTTTGGTTAATAATTAAGATCTTGGAATTTGCTCATTTTTATAGTGATATTTGAATGAAGGAACCTTGATCAATTCAAAGTCAGTTGTTTGTGTTTGTGGCTTTGTGCTCTTAACTAATTGAAGTTAGGTTGCCACTAGACGATAAATTTTCTCAAATAACAAATGGAACCACTAGTGCTCATGTATATATATTATATATGAAATGCGTTTATATATGAAATGCGTTTAAGTAGTATAAGAAATTTTCAACAAATAGTAAAAAAACGCTGTCAAGGCTTCATCATCGATCAAGAAAATCAACGTGAAGATGTACTAGGCCAATAGTGGGAGATTGCTTAATGTTTTAGTTAAAAAGGAAGAAACTGCGAGGTTACACTGTTATTAATTCAAAGTAAGTTTTCTTTATAAAAAAAATAAATTATAAAGTTCTCTTATTTGATTTCTTCCATTTATTTCCTTGATATGCTTACAAGGACGATAACTTATTCACGAAATGGTGGTGAAATTTTATGACTAAAAGTTTAATATAATAAGGGACAGTTTAATTGATTTCAATAGAACATTTGTATAGTTTTATCTATAACATTATATAAAAAGGATACAAATATTCATAACCACCATTTGGTCTCCACTTTTAGTATGACCTTTTTACCCTTAATAATTACCATCTTAATACAAGTAACTACCATCTCTATATTCTTAAAATCTTTTATTTCTCACCAAATAACATTTTTAAGTAACTACACTCATTATCCTCACTCTCACAATTTCCGTCTTTCTTGCTTCCTCTCTTTTTGTTAAGCCAACTACACATCGGTGTATAATTTATTCTCCATTACGGTATATCCTCTCTCACTCTCTATTAAAGTTTCCATTATATACATCCCCTTCATTCTTGGTTTCATTTCATTTTGTTTTCCTTTCGTTTTGAATAATGTTTCCTCTAAAAACATAAACCGTACATAGTTAATAGTGCGACTTATAATCTATAACATTATATAAAAAGGATACAAATATTCATAACCACCATTTGGTCTGATCCACTTTTAGTATGACCTTTTTACCCTTAATAACTACCATCTTAATACAAGTAACTACCATCTCTATATTCTTAAAATCTTTTATTCCTCACCAAATAACCTTTTTAAGTAACTACACTCATTATCCTCACTCTCACAATTTCGTCTTTCTTGCTTCCTCTTTTTTTGTTAAGCCAACTACACATCGGTGAATAATTTATTCTCCATTACGTATATCCTCTCTCACTCTCTATTAAAGTTTCCATTATATACATCCCCTTCATTCTTGGTTTCATTTCATTTTGTTTTCCTTTCGTTTTGAATGTTTCCTCTAAAAACATAAACCGTACATAGTTAATAGTGCGACTTATAAAGGTTCAGATGCGATTTGAATGAAAAAATGTTTTCTTTTATTTTTGTGCCTTTGCGCTTTTGTATATTAGATTTCTTTGTTTCGTTAACTCTGAAAAATTGCTTCATATTGAGGTTTTGTCATAGTTCAAATTTGTTAGAGGTTTATTGGAGTTTTTGAATGAATATTTGGGTCTGGAATATTCACATCGCATTTTTTCACGCAAATTATTTCATTTCAACCGTCAAATTGACTTCCCTTAATTGGATAAAGTTTAGAATAACTGATAGGTATTTGCCCTTTGACAACTTTATGATATTGCATTGTGAAGAACTAAGGGTGGTTGTACTTTTAGTATAAATGGCATTGCTTTCACTTTGAATAACTTAACCAATGAAATAAGTATCAAATAATGGTCTGAGACAGTTTCCTTAAATGAGGATGTTATTATTTAATAAGAATAAATTAATCTATAAAAATGCCTTCTTTTAATAAATCACAATAATTTAGTTTTGACTTTGGTTTTTAAGTTGTTTTTAATGCTTTGTTTGCATTTGGAATATCAACATTTTGCAATAAAATTAAGATCCAACACTTTGTAGTTCCCTATACTTCTACTAAAGTAATTCTTCCATTTTTTTTCTGCTTTTTATTTCATTGATATTTTCTATTATTTATTTCGCATATAAGAAGGATTTTAAATAAAAGTCACCATTGAAAATATCTTCATGATTTACGATAAAATTCAAAACTTTTCTTTAATTTTATTTAACAACCATAATATGTGTCATTAAATAATAACAATAAAATTTTTATAACTAAATTAATTACATACGTTTACGTAATTAATAAACTCAATGTATTTCTCAAGTTTAGTCTTTTTTTTCAATGATTTTTTTTGGTGTATTACTTTTACAAAGAATTTAATTTTACTCAAGTTATTAAAAATTTAAATTTAAAATATCTCTATTTTCTGAATTCATTTTTTTCCCTTTAAAATTATAAAAAAAACTATATTTAAACTTACTATTTTAACAGATTTAAAAATTTAAATATATAACTATATTTTATTAAAAATTCAAATTTAATATATGCCTAATTTTAAATTTTAAATTTTAAATTTTAAATTTTAAATTTTAAATTTTAAATTTTAAATTGTAACGACCCGACAGGTCCTACACAACCCATTGAACACCGGAAACACTAGGCAGAAAGAACAGGTATATAAGTATAGGTTCTAGAATATAAATATACACAAGGTCCTTCTCCGTCTCGAGTTAGAGTGACAAAACAACAATTCAAACAATATACATCGCCAAACACTACACCTAGTAGCTACTACAACAAAACAGCAATAAAACATAGCCAGCTCCTCCTGCCAGCTGCCGACTCATCGCGAGCCATATACCTATTTCTGTTCTGCTCCCGTATATAATACGATCATAGCAGTCCAACCACAAGGAAACAGAAAAGGGTAAGTTAGTATAAAAAGAACAACGTATAGCAAACTTTTATGTAATTAGAACAACTTCAACCGGCAACACAACAACATTCTACTTCCATCAATTTATACAACCAACCAGCAATTAGGTATAAATGCGTCGTCACGCATATTAACTCGGAGATCTCCTACAACAACTCAGCCCTTTAGGCCTACAACAACTCAGCTCTTTAGGCCTACAACAACTCAGCCCCTTTAGGCCTACAACAACTCAGCTCTTTAGGCCTACAACAACTCAGCCCTTTAGAGCTACAACAACTTAGCCCTTTAGGCCTACAACAACTCAGCCCTTTAGGCCTACAACAACTCAGCCCTTTAGGCCTACAACAACTCAGCCCTTTAGGCATACAACAACTCAACATTCAACACAACTCAACTTTTTCAACTCAACATATCAACTTACAACACAACACAACTATACAACTCAACATCAGCTTGCAACACAACACGACTATACAACTCAACATCAACTTGCAACACAACACAACTATACAGTTCAACATCAACTTGCAACATCATCTACTAGTCATCACATATTATCAACCACTTCAACTCAACTCAACATAGAACAACATAATACAATACAAGTAATATCTCATCTCCGCGCCCTCGAAGTTGCGCGCAACGCAATACAACCAGAGAGCCCTAGGGGGCCAACGCGCCCAGCGCAAGCATGCTCGTGCTCAGCGGGACTCAGCCAGAGAGCACAAGGCTCTCCCGCGCTTGGCGCAATACCCATTGCGCCCAGCGCAGGCCAGGCAGGGACTCCAGGGAGTCTTTCGCGCCCGGTGTACTTAACCCAGCGCTCAGCGCGGGGTAGGCAGAGACCACCCCTTGGTCTCGCGCCCAGCGCAATTGGAATTGTGCCCAGCGCCCACGAGGCAGAGACTCCCAAGGAGTCTCACGCCCAGTGCGACAAGGGTCACGCTCAGCGCAGCCTCTAGAGCCCAACAGCAAGTTACAATGGGTATCGCGCTTAGCGCGGTCCAAGTCGCGCCCAGCGAGGGCCAACCCGAGACCCACATTTTCAAGCGCGCCCAGCGCACTCATCAAGGCGCTCAGCGAGCTTGGCTAAATGAGGTCCCTTGGTGGCCACGCGCTCAGCGCGATGAACAGCGCTCAGCGCAAAGCTCATCTGCAACCTTACCAAGTTCGAAATTTTTCCCAAACACCTGCAAAAGTCACTATCCAGTACATGCAATCCAGCCAAAGTATCACATTTCCATCTAAGAGTTCAAAAACAACATCTTTTTATACATGCATCCACAAAATCATAGGAAACCAAGAATTTCCCAAAAACCCCCAAAGTCGCCCAAAGCTTTAATGCCACACCCAAACAACCAAAGATTCGAAAATCAAAATCAGCTACCTGAGTTCTCAGACTCATTTCAACCAAACCACAACAAGAAAACTAACTTCCCTTACCTCGGGTGAAGATTCCGAGCTCCGGGAAGTGGAAGACGAAGAACGGAGGAGAAGAGGGATTGGAGAAGAATATGAAAGAAGCTCCGCACGGTTTTAATAAAAAATTTTAATCCTTTAATCAGCACCTTTAGCCACCAAAAACCACAAGCTCAATGCGAGAAAGGAGAAGTAAGAGTATGGAATGAGTGAGTAAAGGAGTGA